AAAGGTTCCGGGCGCGGCGGCGGTGGGGGAGGGTTTTGAGGGAGCACCGCTGGGGGGTTGCCAGGCCAGGAGGAGCGGAGGGGCGGGGAGGTTATGGCTCCTCCACAGCCGGGCCTTGTGTTCCCCCTCACACCTCAGCGACGGCAGGGGCAGGCCTCAGCGCCTCACCCCTGTGGCCCTGGGCCGGCCCAGGGCACCCCCGGCTGTGGTCAGTGATGCCGGAGGCAGCCAGGGCCGCCTGGGCTCGCCTCCACGGCCTGGCCGGGTGGGCCAGGGCTGGAGAGGGCGGTGAGGCCCAGCCCCGGGTGGAGGCCTGTGGTTGTACCAGGGTCTTCCACGGTGCTTAAATAAGATTCCCAGATGAGTTCCCAGCTGTTGTTGCGCTGAAGAAGTGCGTGAAATGGGTGGCAGCGCTGCCTTGAGAGCTGGAAAACAAGGCGCATCCAAATGGGCTTCTGTGAGTTGTTGGGTTGTTGCCGGGTTTTTGCCGGCAGGACCACATGGAAGTGGGAGGCAGAGGAGGAACCAGGAGAGTTCAGCAGATCTGTCCATCTGCCCTCCGACAGAATTGCCTCTAGTTATGTCAGTTCTGAGAGGTGCATGCCTCACCTGTCCGTAAAGACCTCAGGTGTTGGAGTGTTCACCTGGCAATGCCAGTGCTTGCTAATGTTAATAGAAAGTTTTCCCTCATGCCTGATGTGAATCTTTCTTGCAGCAAGTTAACTCTATCCACAGTGGACACGGAGAATATTATTTTCTTCATTTACATGTTTGAAAACTGTTGGTGACTCCTCTCAGTCTCCTTTTCTTTAGATTAAACACCCCTAACTCCCTCTTCCATGCTTTCTGACTCCTTTGTCATTCTTCTCTGAGAGAAGAATGTGCTGTCCTGTGGACTGTCACTAGTTGGTTCACAGCTTCCATTCTGTAATATGCCCAGAACTGGGTATCACGTGCTGAGCTAAACAGAAGAAGAGATTTGGGGTGTTTTGTAGGCCAAACTTCTATTTATACAGTGGGATTTTTCAGAGCAAAATAAATTGCACAAAGCTGACATAATACATACATGTTGTAATATGCCCAGAACTGGGTATCACGTGCTGAGCTAAACAGAAAAAGAGATTTGGGGTGTTTTGTAGGCCAAACTTCTATTTATACAGTGGGATTTTTCAGAGCAAAATAAATTGCACAAGGATGACATAATACATACATGTATTTTCAGGACTAAGATAAAAGTTGTAGGGATGAGGTGAGGCACATGTTTCTGTCGCTTGCTTGCTTTTAGATTTACATATTAATACATTTAAGGGACTGTCTTTATTTTCAGTCTTACCTTTGCTTTTGTATTTTAACTTGACCAGTTATTTTTGTGTCATGTCTGTTTTTTTAGGCAAATTTCAGTTTAAAAATAAGAATGATGGTACTCCATAGGACATGATACGGATAACATTTATTTATTGATAAAATAATATGTAATTCTTACTTTGAACAGTAGAGGGCATCATATAACTAAAGGTTCCAATTTAGGATGCTTTAGAGGTGTTTTCCCCAGGAGAAAGTGAACCTGCTTAAGAAAATGAATACATTCCACCATCACCATTGGTTCTGGATTAACAGATTTTGCTGGAATATTATGACAGGTTGCCAAACTATGGATATGATGAATGTTTTTTCTTTGTTTTCAGTTGTGAAGATAGAAATCTCCCTTATAAGGGTGTTCTGCAGGAGCAGAAATTGTCAATAGGAGCTGGTCTAAGCCTATGAATAGTGAATAGTTTGTATGAGCCTTGATTCTTCCCTGGAGACCCAGGTTTGGTGGGATACGCTGCATGCAGCTCATCTCTCTTTGTGAAAGGGCAGCCAAGAACCCCTACTGCACCCTAGACTTCTACAGACACTGGAAAGAGCAAGGCTGACCTTTGGGGAAGCAGCAAAAGCTGACCAGGCAGAAAAAGTGTGTGTGGCACTCCTGTTTTCCACCCCTGGCACCTTCCAAAATAATGAGTCATTTCCCAAAATCATCAGCCTGCCTTGGAAAAGGTACCTGTGCAGTCGTTTCCTGACTTTTATAGCTTCTAGATAGCACTGCTCACTTTTCCCATATAATCAGATTTATCAGAAATGGACTTTACTGCATTCTTTCTTTTTTATTTTTAATTGAACATTGTGATTCTTGTGTAATAATTGGAGTTCCTGTTGCTGGGTCAGAAGAACAAAATGAAAAGCTGAAAGGCTCAAAGCTAGCCTCAGAGTTGCAGTAGGAGGAAGGAAGGGGTAACACTGAAGCTCGGGTATGGAGAGCACCTTGTTCCTCCTTGATCTTCTTGCAACAAATTACCCTTAACACAGCTTAGTACAGTTATATCCTTTTCTGTCCAGCCTCTGGTCTGGCTTCCTTTTGAAAGTGTGCTAGGTGTCAAGACCAAACAACTTAGCTCCAACGTAAACTGCTTGTCACCAGCATTTTACAAACATATCTGTCCCTGTGCTGTGCATACGTGCACATCAGGTTTGCAGGTCTGTGCCTGGCTCACATTATTAGCAATGGGCAACTTTTATTGTATTAATTGACCTAGCTCCCTCATTTTCTCTTCTCTGTTCCCTGCATTTCTCCCATTTCAGTTTCTCTGAGCCTGCCCACTGCAGGGCAGGCAGTGGTCTTTCCTGGTGCTTGAGATGTCTGGGGCTTGCACAAGTCCATGCCATGTGGTAGTAAAATGCTAATGAATAGGAACTAACTTGGCACCTCTTGATCTGTTTCAGTCACCCTAGAAATAATATTTTGGTTTCCTTAACATATTTGCTGGAAGAACAAGTTTGCCTTTCCTGACCTCACTCCTAAAATATTTGGTGTGTAACTTCTTAAAAAGTAGCAAAGGACAAGGAAGTAGTAATGAGAATGAGAATGAATCACAAGACTGCCAAATGCAGCCTGACAGTAGCAAAAAAAGGAGGTGAAAAAACCCTCAGTGCTGTTTTTTCTGCCAGCTTTCTTTTGACCCTGATTTGGAGTCAGAGACATTTGTATCCAGCTCACTGACATCAGTGGGGAACTCTGGTTTCCCCCAGGAGTGAGTAAATAACTTCAATGACGTTTCCCAAAGCTATATGGTGAGGTCAGAAGACATTCTGTGATGATATTCTTAATAATGAATAAAAATACTGGTTACAGATCCTACATGGCTGGATCCTGACACACAATCAGTGCATAAATCCACCTGCACAAACTGGGGCCCCTGTTTGCAATGCCAGAGTTTGAATTTTTCTCCAAGGCATATGTGGGGATCACAGCTGGACACTTAGTTCAGGCTGGTTGCTAAGAGTGTAACAACAGCAATGCCTATTTTCCTTCTCATTTGGACACACTCCTGGTCTCCGGTGATTCCATAATCTCGAAGAAAAATATTCCCCTCTTGCCCTTCCCTGAAAGTTGCATACCAACAGCGCTTGCTTGCACCTATCAGAGTTATGACCCGGAGTCATATTGCGGCAAACACTTGTGAGATCTAACTTTTTCTTTCTTGCAGTGTCTTTG